TATATATAGAATTAAAGTGATTAATATCACTTTAATTCGAATCGTCTTGCATAGGTTCCGGTTATTGCAAATGTCTCTAATAATGTCAGGTACTAGAGATTTATGTGAGTTCTACCCAGAACAGTTTATGACTGTTAACTCTTTTCATTTATGCAGTAAACCTATATGGTTGGATAATAGTGTGGTTTTTAAATGTGATGTCTAAACTACATCCACATTTCTAACTTTTTGCAGTTTTTATTCACACTTAAAGCATGGTCCCCAAACGTGTCTAAAAAAAAACTAGATGATGTCATGATCTATTTTTCTCATAAACGGATCTAGGCTCTGTGCAACGTGAGAAACGTTAATTTCAATCCACATTTGTTTTAAAGTGTTTGTAATATTCCTTTTCACAAATAGGAATGTGTTTATACATTTGGTTCAGAGCCAAGAACGAAAAATATGAAGAGCGCCTCTCCCTTTCGTCTAAATATAGTACCATAGTTATTACAGCAGCCGATTGCTATACCTTTAACCAAACATGCTATGATACCCAGACTAGCAGTTTGCACATGTTTCTCTGGTGCAAGATACAGTTGACATTGATTTTGGCTAGCATCATAACAATTATATAAAAGTATAATTTAAATGAATGACGGGCCTATCAGTGCGTTGTACATTTCTTGTGCCCACTGTACATTGAATGTTCTTCTTTTATGTGAACTATTGTATCACAGTAAATTGTCTCAACGACCTTTGAATTTAGGAAAGGAATAGTCACAAAGTGAACCGGCCCTGATGTTTTCTTGCCGATTTTGTCTACTTTTTCTTACACCAAATTGGATTTTGGATTCTCAAATACAGCAGCTTCTTTTTATTCATTTTATAATGTTAAGTGCAAACACAAAGCATGCCAAGTGCAACTTTGTCATTACTTTAAGGGCTCTGGTGACCTGCTGTGTGTTGTCCTAGAAACAATATTGTGTCTCACACGTTCCCATTGTCTGGAGACATCTTGCTTATTTACAGCAGTAGTGATAGCACAATATGTTGCTGTTTCTTTGGTTCCATTTTTCTGTTTCGTGCACCAGTTGGAGCTTACTTGACACATAAGTGTATTTCAGTTGTACGGTAACGGCTGTTTCAACAACAGAATGAGTTATTACAATACAGGATAAATCGTGCCTTTTATCAATGCCACACTGGGCATGTTTGGCCTCATGTTTTACTCTGTAGATGGTAAGTAGTGAGAAAGCATTTATATTACAGATTAATGCTACTTGTCTTAAACCAATCCTATATAGAGGCCTTATAAGTAACCTATAACAGTAGTATTATTGTTCTTCTTGAGATCCATTCACACTGCTGGATTATACTTCCATTCATTTAAAGGAATTAAGGAAGCTCAAAGTCAATCAACAGGTGCTATATACCTGCATTTGTACACCAACCCTTTATATTTTGTACATTGTTTTTGTTATGCTTCTACTAGTGAAGGAAACGACACAATCGTATTTAATTTTGTAAGAATTACCTCAAACTTTTCATTTTTGTAGTGCGTTCAATCCCAGGGCATTTGGTAAGAACCAAAGTGCATTCCTTTTGTAACGGCTTGGCAGCCAGCGACTTTTCCTAGATGCGCGGTAATTGAGCCACTTTTCATTTATGGCTTTGGAGTGCATAGTCTCTTCTATTTGGGTTATACAGTAAATAGGAGAGAGGGTGAATTGTGACCAGAAGAGCACACTCTTCTTGAAGGGTTTAGTCTAAGTCTGTGCTTCTCCATAGATTACAGCATAACCCAATTTCAAACTACGATCATATACACAGCAATGCAAGCTCTCTTTTGAACTTTTTACCTTATGACCGACATTTACTTCTGAAATTTATATGTTTATGCTTACAAACTGGCTATGGATGTCTTGCCCAGTGGTTCCTAATGGTGGCGTCAAACATCTTATACAACCAATTTTCAAGATCTCAGGTTGGAAGAAATAAGCAGCCTTTGTCATTCCTTTAGGCCGCTGTGTTCCACTGCTCTGGTAAGCTTGTCGGGCAGAGACCCGTGCTGTGACCTCTACACATTAGCAGTTTATCACATCTGCAGTTAACTGGCAGCTGTGTTGGGTGGAGCGGCCATTGTCAGTTGAATCTGCTCTGAAGTGGAACACACTGGCCATGCTATTTATGCATTAATTGCCATTGTACTGCCATGACTGTGATCCCCTGCATAGTTTGGAAGGTCACAATCTTTCAGAATTGTTGATGTATGTTTCCAGTTAAATCCTCTAAAGATGAAGACGCTAAGCCTGGTTTGTTAAATGTACAGCCAACCCTTAGGTGCCCATGCACGAGCTTGTAATCGGAGGAGCGGACTGCTGGAGAAGCTGTATAGAACGATGGAGCTTTAAATATGTATACTTGTACTCGCCAAGTATGTATGTTTATGCACTGAGCATGCATCCCTGGCAGTGGCTTTATCTCATTAGTTGTGAAAATCCAGCCTGGGTGATCAATTCTTTTGCTGTAACCAATTGGTCAGGAGGTATCTGAAGAGGCCACATTCATATAGTTTCTCAAGCTGCCATATCTGGCAATGATCTAATGATTATGGGCACATTTAGTTTACAAACTACATCTAATCTGTTTTTTGGAGTGGGTAGTATGTCTAGTACTTATTGATGTAGTCAGGAATGCAGAACGCCATAGACGTGCAGATTGTTTTTGGTTCTGTTTTTGTTCCTAATTAAATACATATGCACCTATTATGTGGCTTTTTTTTGCTAATATATTGTGGTTTGCAAATTAAGGAAGTATGCTGGTTTGTCACCCAGCCTCACAGGTATGCACCCATGGAGTGAATTATTTGTTAATGAACACGCCTGTAATTCCTATAGGAGATTGTGAAAATAAGCAGTATAACCTGGCACCCCACACTTAAGAACCTCTGATGCTGTTGCTTTGCTTCTTCAGCAACATCTTAGACATGTGACTGTAATATGCTGCAGTTGTGTGTACTGATATGTGAACCATTTTGATTGAATGTGGACTTGTGTATAATTTTGTGTACATTTTCTGTGAGATGCTGCTGGCTCCACTTTGCATTGGATATGTTCGAGTGGACAAGAATCAGTGGCCAGTTTTATACTGTATGTATTGTACAGCAGATGACAGAAGTATGATTTTTTTAGTGAATATTTGTTAAATTTTATTGTTGTGGCCAGAGATCATTTCAGAATAAAAATGTATGTCCCTTTTTGCCTTTTATTTCTTTGTACTGTTTCGAATAAGGGGCGATATTAATGCAGGTTATGTCTGACCCGACACTGGTTCTTAAAACTGCCTGTTACATTCTGATAATCAAGCTCTGCAATACTGTACATTGCTTTTAAGCACGGGAAGCCAAGGACCAACATTCTTAAAGTAGATGTCAGCGGTGGCAATCTACATAATTCTGTCAGGTGTACTTTACACCCCGGATGCTATTTTAAAATAGTGCTGGGATTGCATTTCTCATTCTTAATGACAGCGTGGGTATAGGGCTAAGCTCTGGAGCTGAACTGATCAGCTTCCGGACTTCTGATCCTGCTACAGAGAGCATTCTGTAGCACAAACACAATGCTTTTGACCTTTTCTGTGTTTCCAGTCTGCACTGGCAGCTATTATGAAGCAAGTCAGAACTGATACAGCTCTGCTTTGCTTTTTCATGCAGCGAAAGATCACTGCAGTATCAATGTATTGCTTGAACAGTAAGATCACTATGTGCGTTGGTGAGATCAGGTCCTCCCATAAAGGGTAAAAAAAGCTGAACTTCGGGCAGATGGCTAAATGAGCTGGTTTACCTACCAAGGATTGATATTTCTGGCACATCCAGTCACAAGATTTAGAAAGCTCTGCCAAACAGCACAACCCTGTTTGGCAGGGCAGGCCTAAGACATACAAAT